GATACCTCTTATTATTAATTCTATGCATTCGTGATATGTCGAAATTAGAATCATTAATAAAATACGATATATAAATTATTTTAATTGGGAAAAAATAAATATTTTTTATTAAACAGAATTACGTAAAATTAGATCGAAGAGAGATAAGATAAACTAATTTATTGGAGAAATTAATTTATGGAAGAGTGGAAAGAAAAAATCTATTTGATATTTCTCGCAAAAGTTACGAAGAATGTGCAAATCAACGGTATCAATAACGTTAATTTTAACATATTACGCGAATCTTAACAATTGGTAGTAATTAACTGTATCGTAATATGAATGAAATTTTTTGTTTTAATGCAAGACCTCGCGAAACGATGATTGGGCAAGATTATAGAAACTTTTGCGCATGCCTTCAATATAGAGACATTTTAAATGGAGCCGACAGCCGTTCAAGAGCTCCAATACATTAGTACGAAGTCAAGGTGAATGCATTATGCAATCTTAAAGCGTGATTAAAATCAGCGGAAAGCGATGAGAGCGCAATATTGATGCAATATTGATTTTTATCTAATAAACAACGAATATTTATACATCGCGTTATACGATTCCTCATGTCGCGTGATGCGATTATAAAGTAAATATCTCCACTAATTCCAAATATGCAAGCTCAATCAAACGTGTCTTTTTAAACAAGTAGGACTACTGAGCCAGCAGATTTAAAACACATTATTATTCTACGCATACACTACACAAACATACCTATCGTAATTTGAATCAATATATATAAATAAATAAGCAGATATCACAGACCGGATCTTCTTATTAAAGTATGTAATGCGTAATATCGATATTCGTGATAATTGGCAATTCTGCGATGTTATATTGTTCGAAAGATTATATGCATATCATATACGTTAAAATAAATTTGCACTTTTATTGCCTTATTCGCATGAATATTGCACGTTGTAAGCAAAATTACATTTTTATCTCATAACATATTATATCTGGCAAAATCAATCGAAAGATATGATTTTCTACCATTTCTCTCAATCAAATCACGTATAATATTATCTAGCGTATATAATATCATCACGTATAATATTATCTAGCACACATTTCTTTCGTGAAAATCATAATGCAATAAATTTTCACTTCTCTTTAACGAATTTCATTTCTATGTAAATCTTGAAATTGACTTTGAAATTTATCAACCATTTTTACAAGTTCTATGAAAAAAAAAATAATTAATAATTGTCGATAATATAATCCAACTAAAGTTCCGTCACGATTAATAATAAGTTCCTCAAAGTAGTTAGAATATTCTCCAACGATATTTGCCAAGTTTTAATCGTTCAAGAGAGGGAAAACATGTCGTATAGTCACGAATTTCTCAAAGTTTATGCTACGTTTGAATGCAATCGAGGAGGAACTGTTAAAAACCCTTGTTCACCGACATCCCGCAATTTGCCGTTCACCAAATCTATTTCCAACGCTTGTGTGCAGAGCGCGAATATCCGATATGTAACTGGAATTTAATTCACGTTTGAGAACTAATAGTCCACCGAAACGATTCTCGATCGAAATTTGATAATTATCTTTAGCAATTAATAAAGTCGTGGAGATTCATTGACTTGTATGAATTTATGCAGTAACTTACGTAATGAGGTATAGCATAAAAAAATGCTGCATCATTGTTACATATACACATATATATGTACGTATGTATTATATATTTACATACATATATACATTATATTTTAAATATTTAAATAAATACATACATGTATACATATATAATATATAATCATATATACGAAATGAGATTGCAGAGATCTTCAATAATCTTAATAATCAACATTAATTTAGCAATATCGGGATGAAAGTATCAATCAACATTAGTTTAGCAGTTTCGAAATGAAAGTATGAATATTCTATATCCATTCGAATTTGCAAGGGATATTCAATAGCGGTCCAAAGTAATTAAATGAACGAATTGATTAGTTCGCATTCTAATATATTATACGTTAACATTAACACACATGGCTGGCTAGATTTGAAATCCTATATTTGAAAGGATTTATTTACATTAAAATAAATATCCTGAAAATATAAGAGAAAATAAAACCACTATTAATTAACGTCAAAGATATTAGAGTAATTTCGCTAAAACAATTGGACAGAATTAGTGCATGATCTGTAGCAGGATTTAAAACGCTACAAGAGTATTTAAAAAAGTTGTTTCATTAGCGCAAATTTATACAAGTTTCTCTCATAATACGCTTTATTGTATTTAAATGCTTGTTTCGTATACATTTCCAGAATTTAATCGAACAAATAGACCGATAAAAAAACCGATAAAAAAAATGCGCAAGCAAACAATTATTTTATTTCTCGTTTAAAAACAAATCAAGAAATTTATTTGATATATTTCAATAATTTTAATTTTGCGACGAGATTCAAATATCGCTTGAAACAGTTTCTAATTAATTGATAGAGAGAGAGACACAGTTATGTTCTTTCTTTCTCGTAATTAAAAAACTTCAACAATATTCCATGAATAGCGCTAATAGTCCACTGCTTCCGTTCAACGCTTTCATCTATTTTACGACTGGAAAATAAACGCATGTAAACGAACTCGTGCGCAAGCAGCTGCATGATTTGCCGGGGAGAAGGGAGAGAGGTTTGAAACACGGATCTGATTTACATCATTCGGGGATAGTCCGATGATGCTAGTTCATTGACAATGGCAAATAAAGGATAGCCAGACAAGCGAAGCCGTACACGTATATGTTGAGAAAAAAAGAAGAATATATAAAATTGATTATGCGATTACGAGCTACATAATGATCGATCATGAAAGATGATATACTTGGATACTCTGTCTCTGTCTGATTGGCATCGCTCTTTCTTTAACAACCCAGAAATCAGATCCAGCAGATTGCTAAGCTCTTCTTAATCTATCGCAAATGCTACAATTAATGCAACAATTGAGAGCAAATGCAAAATTTTTCTTCAAGAATAAATTAATATTTCATTGTTGCTCCAAAAAAAAAGTTGTATTTATATTCTTTCATTTTCCAAAGAAATAGAATAACATGTAGCATATTAAGATAATGCAAGGTGTATATTTTTTTATATCAATACAATTTTTTAATAGAATAAAACTTTTTTAATGATGCTTTAACAACATGAAGAATATATTAACGTTTTAATTGCGTAAGTTAAAAATATGATGTGCTACATTTTATAATTCTTTTCCTATTTTAACTTTCGAATTTTGTACAGATCTTATACATATTTTAATGATATATAACGCAAACGGCATCGAATCCGATTACGTTGAATATCACGTTTCTACAATTTGTTCGGGCAATCCAGAAGAAGATTATCCTGCGGTACGTTCTGCCGCAAATGTAGCATATCTCGTCAGAGTAAAAGCCCAAGTCTCCCGGAGTTTGGTCTTAAGCAAATGAAGTTATACTCGCGGATGCAGCTGCACCGCTTCAAAGGACCTATCTGAAACGCGATCTAATTTAAAGAGTTAACGAACGAAGGTAGTCGCGCGATTTCAACTGATTTACCACGCGATCTGAGGGTCAAGAAACTTTCATCTTTGGACGGCATGCTTTCCACCGTGGCAAAGCGAAATTCATTACGCGATTGTAGAATTTCAGTCGACCCGCTAAAATGAGCACAGCAAATTGATGAAATCACGAATCCGTAAATTTGTTTCGTTCACTGTGGAATCGCGATTTCTTTATTCTCAAGCAACAACAATCCAATCTCCTCATCAGTTTACAACTGATTATCCTATTTTATGTTGATCATCACGATTTCCATTTATTCGATCACGATTTGAATTGAGAGAAAAATTTCGATTTTATGAATCTTTTTTTTTTTTTGTAATAAAAATTTACACAAATAAATTTTATGCGATAATCTCTTTTTCGATAGCTGTTTACGAAACAGTCTGCAACCTGTTATATCCGCAATAAGCGGATAAACACATACAGCTATGCCATTATCGTCGACACGATCTGCTTGAAAGCGTTCTCTTAAGGACAGCTGTATGCGTCTCTTTCGTCGAGTCAAGGAACTTTCTTTCATGAGAGACGCTTGCCAATCGATAATATGCTTCACACGTATGTCCAGCAAACCGAGAAAATCGCAAGTACGAAGTAGTTGCATAAGTGTTTCCGGTTCTGAGAGATGCGCATGAACTTTGGAATATCGTGAAGTGAAAACGTATGAAATGACTCATGTTTTAATCATATTCTATCTTAAGATAGCAGATGCGAAAACTTTAAACTTTACGATAGATTAATATTTAATCTATATAATGGAAATAAAAAGCATGCAAATAAAACTAATAAAATACATATCATCAAATGTGTTATAAAATTCGTTAAATTGTTAGCAATCTAAATTATAAAGATACTAGATAAGTGACATGCTTTTTCAGATACTAGATAAGTGGCATGCTTTTTCAGACATGTGGTTTAATTCTAGTAATAATGTAATAATGATAATAATAGCAATTCAAGGTGATACGCAACTACAATATTGAACGAAAACGCGAAGGACATCCATCGAGCATTAATGTGCCTTCAATATCAGATAAATTACAGTGACATCTTTGTCCGTAATTGCAGAATTATGTAGAATTTGTTGATTATAGAATTATATCGTATCTTATTTGAAGACGAATATACAATATCGCAATTAAATATTTTACCGAACCAAATTATAATAGTCCTAATTATCCATCCTATGTAACCTCAGTGAATTACAAAAGAAGGGTAATTCTAACGAGAATTAAATTAACTATTACAAATGTACTACAATTATTAAACGATACTATAAGTACAAAACGTTGCGCATAATGTGGAACAATTCAATTACATTCAAATGATTATTCCAAATTGATTTCAAATAAAATTTAGTTCCATATATTGCACGCGTTTCTTGTTTATAATATAATATTATACATATAAAATAAAAACAGGTATACTCACTCCCTCGTGGACCGTAGAACTTGACGGAGAATTCATTTAATCCTCCTAGGATTGTCACCTCGTGTTTGCTTTCTATTCTGTTTGAAGTAAAGAAGTTAAGGAAAACCATGTTTCTTTTTTTTTTCATCGCATTATGCGCGCCTCTGCACCTTTCTATGGCGGGAAAAGACAAATCACAGGTTAGCTGTCGACAGCGAGAAACGAGACAGTAATCAGTGTAACGATGCACTTGGAAAATTGAAACAGAGGTATAAGAAAAGATGTAAAACTGTGTCGGAGACCGCGGCGGACCGTTACAGCCAGCATACGACTATCTAACTGGCACAATACACATGCTGAGTGACAATACAAATCCGTAACATTTTTTTTTCTTTTCTCTTGTTTGTTTTGTTAAAATTTATATGATTCAAATGTGAATTAAACTTGTAGCAATCATCTTTAAATCACGCAATTTATAAGTTTATTACGTTTATTATGTACGTTATGTACGTTTAAATATAAATAGAAACGTGTGTATGTGTGTTAATTGTATATATATTTTTTTTCAATATAAATTTAAAACATATAAAATTTAAAATTTAAATTTCTTTTAATAATATAATTTCAATGATAAATTTTTTATATAAACTATGTCATGAAAATTGAAGTTTAAATTTACAAATATTTAAAATGAAATTTAAATGAAATGAAATTAAAATTAAATAAAATTTTTTATAAATATTTATATTATATATTTTTGTAAATACTAAATCTGAATTTTCAAAAATGTATATTTATATTCATAACTTAAATTTAAATTTTTGCAGATCTTAAAACCGTATCTTCTATTTCTAAAAAAATTTGATAAATTAATTATATGTTTTTAGAAAGAAAATATTAAAAATCTGTAAAAAAATATTGCAATATTCATTTATCACATTGCGAAATTATGATAACACAACATCCCTGATGAAGACAACACACGCTCAAAAAGGACAGGAAGTGCAGGGAATAAATTCTCGCATACATACATCATTAACTAGAACTTGCTAGTGGAGGTCGCTGGCTCGCTTATCGCTTGTGTAAGAATAAAACTTTCAATGCGTACATTAGAAAGTACTTATCTAAACGGTGTTGCGCGTAAAAAAATGAGTTACCGTATTGCTCTCTCGGGAGACGCAACTCCGTTGCGTATGAAACGCAAGCAAATTTTTAAACGATAATTATGTCGAAGCAAATCGCAAAAAACGATCTCGTTCGAACGCACAAAAATCTCAAGCAAAGAATTTTTCGCCGCAAAAATTAAGCGATTAAATCGAAATACCCATGCAATCTAAAAGTGTCAAATTGTTTGTTAAGTTTCGTGTTTACGGTATCACGCAATAATCTTGCGATTCTCTTTCGGAGAATGCGCTATATTGCAAAATTCATAGTCATTTATCGCAAAATCTGTATCGCGCGTGACGCGGCAATAAACCTATTTTAATTAAATTATTTAACAACCTCACTATGCACACGTAAAACGCGGAAGTACTTTTTTAACACGTCGGAATAAAAATGTCAATTTAAAATTCTCGCGTCGTAAAGCGACATAAAAGCTGAGATATCCAAATCAACCTTGTATATTCACCGTAACGTTAAATTAACATTATAATAACATTGACGTGCTTTGAACACATTTTTCATGTCTACATCTAAACACGTACAAAATCTATTGTAACACAAATTTTTCAAGATAATCGCTTATATTCTGTCTTAAATTTTCTAATTTTATCGATCTTAGATGCTTAAAAGCGGTGCCTTTTGCGAATAAAATACCATACTTGCAATTTTTTTATTCCTTTGTGGAAAACTATGAAATAAGGAAAAATCAAACGTGCATGACGTGTAACACGCATATCGTTATTCGACTTACGATAACACTTTTTCCTCGATGTTTCGCAGCGAACGGTTACAGGTTTCGTTCAATAAATGCGACTGGCTCTTTTTGCTCTCACTTCTAGAGACAGCTTTCAGAATTTTTGTTATTCGCAACATCACGCTTCGCGAACGCAATTCCGTAGCCGCTCGTGTTCTCTCAAATATGCGATGATGGCGCGTTGTAAACATATATTGCACGAATCCGTCGCGCAGCATCGTTCCCCGCGAACAATGAACGGATGCTCCGAGGAAATAACCTGTGGTTGTAAATCGCACGTGGGTCTCGTCCCGTTTACACGCGCGCGGCTTAATCGTTCTCTCGTTGCGACACGCGATAGCACGCCCTCGTCACGCGGCATCGATTAGAGCGACTATACCTCCGCCCCCACATTTCATCCGGGACACCCCAGCAGTCGAAGCTACAAGTTTCAGTGTTAGTCTTCTATTATAACATCGAATTACATAAACTATAAAGTGTTATGTTAAAAGTAGTAACGTTTCTTATATCACATTTGACTTTTACTGGCTTTTAATCAATGAAGTTTTGAAATTTTTAATATCTCATAAAAAATGCAGACAAGCGTCCATAGGTCTGTTGCACAAAATTTCACCAACTTGGAGGTTGTGAATTTCATTTTTGACTTAAATTAAAATTAATGATGCGTAGATTACGAATATGCAAATTTCCAGACGGATCGAGTTACCGTTTAATTTTCATCCTCATGAAAATTTTCATTTTTACCCTTGTAAAAAATACCGGCGATTTTCCATGGTACGATAACTCGATTCATCAAAAATGAAACTCAACCCCGAGTTGAGCAGCAGATGCTCTTTATAAAAAATTTTTACACTATTTAAAATTTTCTCTATTTTTTTATTCTAATTTTTATAAATTTGCTCATATCTACTTTCACGATTTTACAATGTTATTTCAACGTTCATGTTGAAAAATGAAGCGAAAGAGAAGCAATAAGTCTGCTTGAGAGCAGAAGATTGCTGGCAAGGAACGTGAGTTGACGTCACAATAAAAATTGCAGTCCGTACTTGAAACAGAAACCCGCTTGATATCTCTCCCGATGGCGAGACATGAAAAAGATAAGATATGCAACGCTCGAAAAGTACAAAGGAAAATTTCGTGACGGAAGGGAAGGAAATCGGGCATCGGGAATCACCGCGCGTTTGCATTTCGATTCGAGCCAATCTCTCATCGCGAATCATCGAACAATCGCTTTTCTTCGCGTATACAGTCCGCATATACGTGAGTTATCATTATCGTAACGAGAGAGAGGGGACCTGAAAGTCGTAGTTACTTTTTCTGACACGGAATCCGCAATCGGCCTTTCCCCAGCGCGTTATTCCATTATCGTAGAATAATGGAGATATCATCTCGCGTGTAGGTCTCATCAAACGATCATCTCTATTCATGTGCTCTAATATACACACGGCTGAATTAGCCGTGGTAAGCATTCTGTTACGAGGAACGGAGGCATGTGCGTCTGACAGACGCGCATCCAACGCGCGTTATTAGAGAGCAGCCTCCATATTTCAACGTTCAACACTGACATCGGAAGGTTGGAAATTGAAAAATCAATTAAAAAAGATACAAAAACAAGTTATTCCTACGATATATGAAAAATACCAGGTTTATCGAGAGATAAACAGAAAATATTTATCTTGAAAATCTTCCATAATTTGGCGTTCAATTTTACATTCTAATTTCGAATGTTTATTTTTACGCGATGAGAAACGAAATGTATTATTTGGAAACACGAGATGCGGAATTAAGGGAGAAAATTATGTCGTATTTGTTTCAGGGCAAATTAACGGTACTCGAGGTTTTGCGCGAGAGTGAGATAATTTCGAACGAAACAACTGTTGGAAACAAATTCACGCATCGACGAGCAAGCGAAATGCGTTACAACGATACAATAACAGAATCCCGGAATACGTTGTAGAAAATGAGCGCAACGTTTAAATCCAATTGAATGACACGCCCGTCGAAATTATCCGAACGGAAGTCTCTAACGGCCATAACGCTCCAAGGATTTCACATTCCCATCGGTGGAGCTGTAATACGCAAGATACACCATAAACGAACAGGGACGATGGACGGAAACGATTGCTCAATCCCGAGGGACCGTTACATTCTCTCATTCTATCCGCGCAATGTTGCTGTTTACAACGTTGAGCGAGCCGAGGACGCATTCGACTTTCCTTCCACATTTACATATCTATCCCATATACATTACTTTAATGCCATTTTACCGAACGGTTTTCGTAATTCTTTTTCATCTGTCGTGCTTCTTCAATATCATGATCATATATTCAAGTAAGAAAAATCGAAGCTAAATTTATGTTCCAGAAAATTAAAAAAGAAAAGAGCCGGAGAGGAAGAATCTATGATTGAAAATAAATAAAATAAATACATTCATAAATATTAGGTGTTTGCAGAAAAGCTGAGACTTTTATGGGATTTTAATTCATGTTTCAATCGTATACTTTATAGTGTAAAAATCTTGGTAAAAATATTATAAAAAATGTATATACTATAAGATAAAGAACAATTAAATGTAGCACAAGGTAGAAAGAAAATTCAGGAAAGAAATAAACAGAAATAATTAACTGCGATGAAAGTTAATGACATAGGAGGAATCGACGGAATAAACCTTCCGCTTTCTAACGCAAGTTAATGTAAATTATGTTTGAATCTGAAACACACGATTACGTATATAAAAGGTATCCATAAAGAGTACGATAGATGAAATGTTTGCCGAAAGGAATCGCGAGATGCGTAATGAGAGGTTTTTCATTTTCTAACGCGCAGCGTTTTATGGCTTTATGAGAAAAAAACGGGAAGAGAGTCGGCGATTTTGCAGAAATTGCGGACGTAGCACGATCGAAGGATTCGATTTCTAATTTCGCAGTGCGATTGTAAAGAGAGAAAAAAGGGATCGGAACTTTGCGATAAAATTATCAACGAGAGGAAAAATCGTCACTGACGAATTTTGAGGAGGGGAGGGGGTAGGATTACCCTCCCCCCTGCAAATTAAAAGAAATTAATTTTACTGAATCCCCTTAAAATATATACATAAAGAAAAATAAAGCTAAGCATGAAACCAAAAATATTAAATCAAATAATTTTGCAGAAACCCCCCTTCCCCATTTTCGATGTCAGGAT